TGGAAGCATCATTCCTTTACCAACTGTGACATTACTGTGAAATGTAGTCCTCTTCTGCATAATTCAGCAGTGTTTCAGTATAGATCAGCTCTCTCTAAAATCAAAGTCTTTCTTGTCACATCAGTCAGAAGTACATTGGACTTAAGCCAGCAACCCACAAACTCTTCCATACATTTTTAGCTATGCTGATATGAACTGTCCTGTTGTGAGAAACAGTAATGGTCTCTTCTCATTTAAGTGCCTTTCCTTTTGGATCAGAGGTAATATATAAAACTGCATAGCCTGAAAAAAAAGCCAGAAACCAGCCTGTGAACTGGTGTTTCCAGTCCCCAAAAACTATCACTTCCATTGGGGTTTGGTGGAGTGCAGCTGAGACCAGAGTCTGTTTCAGGGGACCAAGCAGGTTGCAGCTGTACTGCTCAGCTTTGGTTTTCTCTCAGTGCTTCATGGACCTCCATCAGGTTGCACTGGTACAGCTGGAGGTAGAAGACAGCTCCACATTTGTTAGGATAAACTCCTCCCTTTTTTCGTGAGGGTTTTCACCCATTCTTCTAAATTGTGTTTTATACATAGTTCTCCAACATAAAGAGACTCTCCTGAAAGGCCATCTCATTTGGGAGGAAAGGGACAAAGACTTCCCATGGCCTCCTATTTCTAGAGGGCACATTTAAAGAGCTCTCTTCTGATCTCTCTAAAACCAGCAGAAACCTCCTTAACTTTACTGAACTGGATTTCCTGCCGCATAGGATACCTCACCAGGGAATTTGAACCAGAAAACATTACCCAGACAGTGTTGTGCATGCTCCCTAGGAAATGCCAGTAGTTTCAGTGAGATAGTGCTTCCATCTCTGCCTCTGCATCAACTAATAGAGCAGGCTGTCTGACCAAAAGGCTGTTGCAAAATGCATTTGTGAATAAGGAACTTGGGGGAGGTGCAGTAAGAAGTGATTACACAGTAACTGTACCGATGAAGTTACAGAAAGTGAACTTCCCTATCGCCCTGAGGTTACCCTACTGGAACAATATGAAAACAGAGAGCCGAAGCTGGCTGCTAGCTGTGACGTGACATCAACAGGGAAGTCAAAGGAAAGATTTGTTTAATATGCTTTCATTTACTTCTTAGAATAGTGATAACATTACAACACCACCAAAAAGTGAGTCATATGTAATTGCCTCTGGGAGCCATCAGGATCTATATAAGTATTTTAGCTGTGGTCTTGGGAGACACAAGGTCAAACTCTTTCTGCTGCAGCAAGGCTCCTTGGCAAGCTGGGCACTATGAAATACCTCTTCCTTTGTGCTGTCATCCTCCTACCTGAGGGTCTTGCTTTTCCAACACAACTTAAACTAGAATCTTGGAGCAACATAGACTTTGAGAAAGTTAAGGTATGTTACCAGGGGGACAACATAATTGCATTACAAATAACCTGATTTTTGAGTCAGCTTCTACATTCCTTTCCTATCAGTTTATATTATCTTCTTATCTTACATTACCACAACAGTTTTTGCAGAGGTGACATAAAAAAACTTAAACTTCCTGACCAGCTGAGACACACTAACTTACAAAAGAGACCAAGTTCCAACTGGTAAATAAATGGGAGCATGTAATTTTTAAAACTTCTCAAAAATATTATGTATACTGCATTGCAAGCTACGTGTTTGAATGCTCAGTAAATTTTATTTACTTAAAAGGACTGCTTTCTTACAGTGTTTCACTGCTATTGCGGTTCTTTTTGCTAATCTGTACTACTGAGAGAACAGCATTTGGTAAACTGAAATGGGAAGAAAAAATACGTCTAAAACTAGCCATGACTGCAGGACAATGAAACAATTCGATAAAATGAAAAATGCAATTACCAAAAGATCACAGATATACTTAGTACGTTTTATTTTCCTTTTCTTCTTCCAGGCATATCTTGATAAATTCTTTCCACTTGTTACAAAAACACAAAGCCTAACCCTAGAAGATAGGATTAAAGAAATGCAGAGGTTTTTCCACCTGACTGTAACTGGAAAATTAAATGCAGAAACAGAAGAAACCATGAAAAAGCCCAGATGTGGAGTCCCCGATACAGCAGGTTACGCAACATTTCCTGGAAACCCAAGATGGGGAAAGACACATTTGACTTACAAGTTAGTGATGTTTCAGGATTTATGGGGAAAGGGGTTGCTTTGTATTCAACTATGTGGGTTTCCTTCAGATCCTAAGTGACACTAATCTGTTTCCTTTTGCTGCCAGGATTGTCAATTATACACCTGATCTACCCCAAAAGAAAGTGGATGATGCAATTAGAAGGGCTTTTAAGGTATGGAGTGATGTGACTCCACTGCAGTTCCACAGAGTATATGACAGACATGCAGACATTGTGATTGGATTTGGACGTCGTGGTGAGAATACCTGTTATTTTTAAAATGCAATGGTCCATATTTGACTCAAAGCATGTATTTTTATAGCGCATTTATTTTTATAGCCACAGCTTTAAGAAAGAACAATGAGTTTGGAGTTATTCTGAAGCCTGCATGAATTTTATCTTGCCACCAAATCTATATATTATGATTTAGTTTTACTGTTATGAAACCATTAGAAAA